ATTTTCTCTTCTCAAAACTAAGCCAGTCCTTTTCAAATGGCAGATATTCATTTCAAACACCTCACAAGCATCCTTGAACAAACTTCATGAGCCCATGAAGCCTGGACTTTGAGTATCTTACACTGAATGGGAAACAAGATGGTTTGGGTGGACTCGTGCTGGGGCTGCACTGGTGCGGCAGAAAAACTTGGTGGCGTTGGAAGTACCGTGAACTGGGCCTCTGAAAAAGTGTGTCCTGATCCGTATTCTGGCAGTCTGCTCCCTCTTGAGCAGGGAAGTGTGAGACCGAACACTGAGGACGTGACACCTGCTTCTTGAAGGTCTGTCAGAATTTACTGACAGTATAAGGTAGCACCCAATGTGCGTGGTCAGAGTTTGTGAGGCCGAAACCACCGCCGTTGTCTTAGAACGAGCCAGTTCACCGTGCTGTGTGGCTGAAACTGGCTTCTGCCTGATGTCTCTGATGTAGATGCACAATCCAGATTGTCCAGAGTTGAACCCTTCGGTTGAAATATCAGCAGATTCCAGTAATTCTAAGTGGTGCAAGTTGTCCTGAAGTACAGTGCATTATAAATCTAGGTCTTTCTTGGAGCAGATGCTAAAATAGGATTTATTTCTTAAGGGAAGTGCCTGTGTGAGAGAGGAGGAAGGGACTGGTAAGGGCTGGGAGAGCCCTGAGACCACATGTTAAGTGTGACCCCCAAGGGAAGGAGACAAGGAAGGAAGTTTGGGAGGTGTGCGGTGTAAGAAGGTTTTGGCAAAGCCTCTGGGAGTCCTTGAGGCAAATTCAGCCGGGAGCAGACTTGCCATCATTCCCCTTAGTCACTGGCTAGGAGCGCACAGCCTGCGGGGAAACCCGGCTCAGAACAAACGCGGTGACGGATTCCAGAGCCCAGCAGCCTGGGCCCCTCAGTGGTTGCTCGCTGTGCTCCCATAACTGGGGGTCTGCAAGGTACATTCTCCCAACTGCCACACGGAGTCCCGGAAACCCACAGAAGCCTCCAGTAAATTACTCTATGTAAGTGCACGATGTGCATGTGCGACGAATTCTCTAAAACAAGCCATTTGTCTCCTAAACTGATTATAAAATGGATGGACCAAGATTTCGACATCCAAAAATGGTGAAATGTCTTTCGAAACAATTGCCTTGGGAAGTCGTGGGCTGTCGTGGAGGGCTCTGAAGTCGACCCTAACTGCAGTCACGTCGGAAAGTTTACTCAGCACTCTCGTCCCTCCCCCACTCTGAACATGCCTGTGGCGAGAAGAGCAAGACCAAGGCTTTGCAGAGAATTCCTCCGTGAGACTCCCCATGAGGAGCCCCACACACGGAGCTTACCCTGCATGGAGGTCAGAAGATGCCTGTAGCAGGGCCTCACTCTGCACCCTTCCTTTTCCCCGCTTTCCTCACACACCACGTGGAATGCAGGGAGCTTGTGTTCCCGTTGCTCTGACCCAGTGTTCCCAAAGTAGTTCTCAGTTTTTCTGAGTTAAGTTTCTCCTCTGCGTGTCCTCTGTCCCTAAAATGGCGCTAGAATGTTGGTGGGAACACCAGCCCGATTCCCTGCCACCATGGTTGGGAAGCACCTCACATACTATTCCAGCGTTTTGATGCCGATGATCCCCTCCCACTTGGGAACCAGAACATCAGAACTACTGGCTCTCTCTGTGGTCATTGTCTTGGCAGCTCATTCTGGAACATGCTCTCAGCAGCCTGTGCTCTTAGCAGCCAAGTGACCTTTGATCATCAGCAATCTGGAGAACACATTCTGTTCTCAGGTCACCAGAGATCATGCTTAGAGTGTGGGAGGAAGTACTCTTGGGAGCAAAATACGCCAGATGCTTTGTGTCACCTACATGCTTCATCCTCTGCATTTCTGGAGGCTGTCACGGGTGCCTAGTTGCATCAAAAGTGTAATAACAGCCAGAGAAGAGGGAATGGAAATGGAATATCAAAACTTCACTTCCGTATCATAACTAGTACGTTTCTAATTGAATACACTTATATGCGCACTGCACTTTTTTTTTCATTTTAATGCTCAACCATATTTCTAACATAATTTAAATTTTAGCAATGTGGGTTTTCCTCTGTGCTGTCAAGTTGAGTTAAATGAGGAACAAACATATTTTCAATGGTTTTCACGTGGACAGTGATTTAGTAAAACTTATCCCTGATCCTTCCTCTGTTCTGAAGACTATATGCACAGTTACTATTTGCTTAAACTCCAGTTATTCTAAGAAACACACATTTCACAATGAACATTAAGCTGAGCTTGCTGGTTCCTGAGTTCTCTTTGCCTCTGATAGCAGACGTCAGTCATCTCAGACCATTGGTAGATGTATGCTTACTGGGTCAGTGGTGATATATTCTGAAAAATAATGTTGTCCTAAATATTGCAATGTTGAACAGAGGCTGAGGGCTTCCAACTCACATTTTCAGTTTAGTTTAAAACCAAACAGGATGTCAGTTCATCATATATGTTTACCTCCAGCCCCCAAAACATCCAACTGAGATAACAGTAT